AAATACACGCAACGCCCACCCGATGCGACGGAACGAGGACACCGAGATACATTTTCACTTCGCGTTTTTCGATCATCAGATTCGAAACGACGACGTGTAAGTGAGTTTTTATTGGCGTGCGTTTTACTGTAATTGTGAATGATTTTAACTTTATTCACTTAACGTCCTGTAGAACGCGGCACTAGCTTAAAAGCAGCACCCACTCGACACAACCGAACAGACATGTTCGCTTCGCCGTTTATTACATTCATCAGATTCGAAACGAAGACGTGTAAGTGACTTTTTATTGGCGTGCGTTTGACTGCAATTGCGAAAGATTTTAACTTTATTCACTTACGTCGTGTAGATCATGGCATCGAAACGTAGAAGAACTGTAATGACTGGAGCGGAGCGAGTGAAATGCATCCGTTTGAGCAAGGCTGGACACAAAGTTAAAAGCATCCAGCAGACACTTGGAGTCGGAAAGACGCAAATCTACGAAACTTTAAAAAACAAGGCATCGATTCAACTCCGGATGACAAGCCACCATCCAGCGAGGAAGCAATGCAAATGGCAACAAATCCATCAGTATGCACAAGAATTACCAGACATCGGTGATCAACGGGACAGTTACTTGCAACTAGCAACAAAACTGTATGACACGCAGGCAAACATTGTCATAAACCAAAGAATGCATCCAACCAAACAATCCAAAATAGACACACTTTTTTTCCCAAGACAGAAAAAAAATAAACATTAAAATACTGTACGTATTTTACTGTTGTGATTTTTTTTGGATGCACCTGTATTGCAGTTTTTGTTATATAAAGTTTTTGGACAGTATATTTTTGTATTTTATTGATTGTGTTGTTACACGTGCATTTTTCTCAACATACTTGCAGGTTCATAAAGGACATGTACCATGCTCATTTCCCAAATGAGGAATTTCTGTTATCAGGACAAATTGGACAGCGCAAACACGAGTCCGCACGAGAGAATATTTACTGTATTGTGTTCATGTATGTGACGTCACTGAAGGCCTAAGGTTGAAATGCACGGCCCGCCACTTTTCATAGACGTGGTGAGGTTGTGGGCAAGCCTAAAAATCTTCACGTGGCAATTGAGACAGACAGACATTATAGTGACAGCGGATGAAAAAAACATTTTTAGCCACTATCGCAAAACATACATTTATGTTTTTGTGTGTCGGTCCATGTACTATTGTAGTTTGAGCTCAACTTCTACCTTCATGACTTGAAGAGCTCTACGATCTTCAAGCAGCAAACTATACCTGGAAATGCAGCACACCGCACCATGTCTGCTATGTCATTTGCTGGCTACACACGCACGGACAATGCTGTAATTAATATGTCCTCCGAGCTTGCCCGCATGAGTGTTGGAGCCTAGCCCAGCTGTCATCGGGCAGTAGGCGGGGTATACGCTGAACCGGTTGCTGACTAATACAGTGTTAATATAATAATCAAATGTTGTATCCCCATACACATGAATATCATCTCGAAACAACCTACACTGCGAACTCGAATCCCCCCCAACCTTTCCATGCTTAATGTGTTACCGCGCATATGGTCCGTTCTAAAATACCGTATTGGCCCGAATATAAGACGGTGTTTTTTGCGTTGAAATAAGACTGAGAAAGTGGGGGTCGTCTTATATTCGGGGTCTAGACATTATACCCATTCACAACGCTAAATGCCGCCATCATTGAAGCGAATGCTGAACTTGACTCCCGAGGCCAAAGTGAACCCCTGTAATGAAGAATAAAAATAAAAATAGCGGTAGCACGAAGAAGAAAAATAAAAATAGCGGTAAGAAAGAAAAGAGAAGAAAATAATAGAAGAGATAACAGAAAATGGAGAAACGTAGCGACAGTCTGGAGAAAAGTGGGTCGAAGATCGGCCAGGTTAACCGGCAGCTGAGAAGTTATGATGTCATTTACATTTCAAAAACCAAAAGCCATTCATTTACGAATGTGATTGCACTTTAGTTTACATATTTAAATGTTGAGATATTAAGATTTGAATGTGGCAAAATAACATGCTTTTTCTCTCAAATATATTGTTATAAACATTTGTTTCAGATGTACTGTAATTATTTTCTGTATAAAAATTAATTTGGTGTTCTAAAAGTCTTTTTTCAAACTTGAGTCTTGAAAAAGAGGGGGTCGTCTTATAATCAGGGCCGTCTTATATTCGTGCCAATACGATAATAAAATGATGTATGAAGTTAATGAATTAATTAGACAAATATTTCTTACTTTTGTTTTGTTGTGGCTCAACAAAGAAATCCTCCTATGCCCAAACAGAGCTGTCGCACCACACACATCACTGAGAGTTCCTCGATAGCTGGAGACATCATTGAATTTGAATTAATAAAGAGAAAGCCGGACTGAAGCATGACAGTATTGGCCACAACAGATGGGACTTCAAGGGATCCAAGGAGTGGAATTTGTTATTAGAACATGTCAGAGTTTTTTACTCGGACAAAGTTAAACAAATGACTCGACACACAGAGAAGATTGTCTTTCTTATCGGCGGAAGAGGATCTCTCAGGGCGAACGACGGTAGTTGCCCCGTGATCACACTTAGAGTACCTTGTCCTCCAGTCGGACTTTTATTGTTTGCATTTGCAAAATACAAGAAAAACACTGCCCCCGATATTTGCATACCACACCCCCGGTCCGGCCCTTTGGTAGTGATCTGATTGCCTTGGTTTAAACTTTGAACCACAGATACGTTGACACCTTTCAGTCTGGTCTAGAACGAATCAGCACGTTGCAGACTTCGCAGATGACAAATGTCCGCCTGGGCGCGACACCCGTTCCCAAACCGTTTTTTGATGTTTTACAACACTTCGTTCCCAAATTGTTTATTCCCACTTTGTGACTGAGCCTAGCCTTCTCCCATCTGTTCGCCCCCTTGCTTCAACGTGATAACTGTGAACTTCAAAATCCCTCCGCCCAAACGGCCGACACCTTTGCGCACAGGCGTTTGGGGCCTCTGAATATGCACCCAAACGTCTCGACATGCCCACATTAAATGAAACTTTAAACATGATACAATTTTGCTCGTAGATTTCTCTATCAGAACGACACGAACCGGTGCAAATTGGCACACAGCAATGCTCATTTGCGCCACCCACCATCTTCTGGAACTAACTGTACTTGCTCATTTTTCTGACAGTTGATGTGCTTGTGTTTTTGTGCTTGTGTATTTTCCCACTCTTGTGAATGGATTAGGAAGCTAACAGGAGATTTGTTAAAAAAACACTGCAGAGATTGGAAGTCTGTCATGACATGTAGTATGTGACAATATCGATGCAGCAGAATGAAAACACCCACAATGCACAACAAGCACTTGAGAAGGATACAGTATCGATGTCATCATATTGATATTTTATCCCACCACTAATTCATAACATGGCATAGAGCATGAGCACATGGTAGTGGCAACATGACAGAGCATTACTAACACAACATTGTGGCGCAATCTATTGGAAGGTTGAAAAGCTTGCTTCTATTATTTTAATTTTGCATCTTGATGTGTATTTATTTCCCTTTACTTTCTTCGATGTATTTATTGTATTACTTCGCAGATTGTGGTGTCGCTGGTGAACGGCCGTCCTGGAGCGATGAACTTCTCCTACTCCCCCGTGCTGCGTGACTTCACCAAGGCCACCAACATCCGCCTGCGCTTCCTGCGCACCAACACTCTACTTGGACATTTGATGGGGAAAGCCTTGCGAGATCCCACTGTCACACGCCGGGTATGGACATCAGTCGCTAGCTGCTAGCGACTGAGAGCTGACCTAGCAATCTGCATGTTCACTTAATGGTAGTTTTTGTTTAACGTCACACAAATGCACTCAAATACACTACAGCACTCTCACAAGATCCAAATCCAAGTCTCTTGTCTACAAAAAGCTGTTCCATAGCACAACTGTCATGACATATATATATATATATATATATATATATATATATATATACATATATATATATACATATATATACATATATATATATATATATACATATATATACATATATACACACACACACAGAGAGAGAGAGTCTGAAACAGTGAGGAACACTATCAACAACTTGACACACAAAAAATATATACAGTGTAAACAGGGACACGGTTCCCTTGATGACCACCAGCTTTTGGAAGTTGGCGCTGTCCAGTCTGGCCCTCTCGAGCCTGAGGATGTCACTGACTACAGACGCTCCCCAGCTTACGAACGAGATACGTTCCGAAGGATCGTTCGTTAGGTGAATTCGTTCGTAAGTTGCTTCTGTGCTATATTTTGTATGGAATGTATGTTTAAGGCTTATATAAGTATGTTTAAGGTTTATATAAGTATAATAAAATGAAGTTTAACTTACTTTTGGAAGATGTACTCGAAGGCTTGAGGAGGTGATGGAGGGGGAGGAGAAGGAAGAGGAGGATTTTATATCATGGGGCCGAGAGGGTCTTCGTCGCCGTTGGAATGGGCTTCAAGAGTTACTTCCTCCTCCGTAACATCAATGAAGGAAAAAGTTGAGGGTCCAGGAGAAGAAGATGAGGATTGACGAGTATCTTCCTTGGAGGGTGTAGTAGAAACTGGCCGAAAGAAGCGATCTAACGACGATTGCACAGTTTTCTTCTTTTTCTCATCATAAATGATGCAGTAGCACTGTATGGCATCATTCATTTGATTTGCAACCTTTGTGCAACGTTCAATATTTGGGTCTTGCTGCTAATCTAACTTCCAGCATCTCTGTCCGAGAACATTTTTCGACATACCTGTACCCGCAAAAATGTTCGTATGTACCGTTGTTCGTAACTCGAATGTTCAGAAGTCGGGGAGCGTCTGTATGGAGAAAAGCTTCTCAATGGTAGCTAGGGTTGGGGTTGTTGTACATGATGAATAATGTAACCCTTAAATAATGACACCAGTCTTCAAAGGCTGTGGTATGGCGGGTTACGATTATGGTTTAGTTACAATGTATTTTCCTGCTGTCGACCTTGCTAAAATAATCAAAATGGTTGGACCGCTGCATCTTGATTAAACTTTGCTCCGTCTTGAGCGTCCTCACTCTCATTCACCTCTGTCTTTAATATATATATATGTATATATATATATATATATATAGTTTGTCTAGAACCACCACTGGTTGCAACTTGAATGTACCTTTGTATGCTGCTTTTGCTGCAATGGATCGTTGGTTCTCACCTAGTGTGCTTTTGTGGGGGGGGTGGTTGTGTGTGTGTGTGTGTGTGTGTGTGTGTGCGTGTGCGTGTGTGCGTGCTTGTGTCCACGTATGCAGTACTACTACAGTATCAAGGACATCAGCATTGGTGGACGCTGTGTATGTAACGGACACGCTGAAGCATGTAGTGCTAAGGACCTCAACGACCCTTACAAGTAAGAGCACAAACGCACAAAGCACAAACGGCTTACTGAACTGAACTCTGAGCAACCTTTGTTTCGAGGGCAGTCTTTATTTGGGATGATGTCAATTCAAGACTGTTCGCCATAATTCTGGAAATCACACACACACACACACACACACACACACACACACACACACACACACACACACACACACACACACACACACACATGGACTTTGGGCACACTAACACACTTCATGTGTGCTCACTGCTCTCATACGCACACTTTTTGCACTCGCTCATACAGTCACTGCCCCAACACTGTCTATCTTGCTTCCCACCCCACACACAGCCCTCAGACTGTCTGTTCGTCTAATTGCCTGTCCTAAGTTGTTTTCTGGGTGGCAGGACAATTTGGTTTTACTTTACAGCTCCACTTCTAGTTCACTGGCAACAACACTCACATGTGCGTTACTCATTTGCAAAGTGTGTGTGTGTGTGTGTGTGTGTGTGTGTGTGTGTGTGTGTGTGTGTGTGTGTGTGTGTCTCAGGGGTGTGAGTAGGTCAGAGACAATGCATGAGGTAAAGGAATGTGGTATGAATTGATTCAAAGGAATTTCCTTTTAAAACAAAGTGCCATTAAACCTGCAAGCAGCAGCCACACGGGAGTGCCAAAGATGAGGTACGCCGGGCAGATGATCAGAGTTAGTGCCTATCTACTCGTTCGTCTGTCTTGTAAAGACACATGGACACATTTATTAATACACCTCCATTAATGAAAGAAAAAGTTATAAAAATAATGTTCATAATAAATACACATTTTATGAAAATGAACCAATTACTTGGAAAACAAACTCATGAAACAGAGCAGAATAAAAATGATACTACTCTTTATATTTTGTTGCACGTTTTGAAGCAATTACTGCAATGGACCATTTTTTTGTAACATTTAATGAGATTTCAGCAGGTCTCACAAGATATTTTGGCCCACTCTACATGAGCAACTGTTCCACTTATCTCAGGTTTGACGGGCGCTTTCTCCAGACAGCATGTTTCAGCTCCATGCACAGATGTTCAATAGAATGAGCGATTTTTGGGTGGTTTTAGCTGTGTGCTTTGGGTCATGATCCTGTTGCAAGACCTATGACCTGACACTGAAACCACCTTGTGCCTGATGTCGCGAAACAGCACCACGACCTAACTAGCATCCTCCATGTTTCACAGTAGGGACAGTGTTCTTTTCTTAGTATGATTAATTTTTGCATCTGTGAAAATACAGCAGAGCCGGATGTGCCTTGCCAAACAGTTCCAGTTTTGTCTCGTGTGTCCGTAGGACAGTCTCCTAGAAGCTTTGTGGCTTGTCAACATGCAGTTTGATATATTTTTTTATTGATTTCCTTGGCGGCATGGTGGTTGACTGGTTAGCACGTCCGCCTCACCGTACGTGCAGGGAGGTTCAAATCCGGCTCCGGCCTTCCTATGTGGACTTTACATGTTCTCCCCATATCTGCGTGGGTTTTCTCTAGGTACTCCGGTTTCCTCCCAATTCCAAAAACATGCATGGCAGGCTGATTGAACACTCTAAATTGTCCCTAGGTGTGAGTGTGAGCGTGGATGATTGTTCACCTACGTGTGCCCTGCGATTGGCTGGCAACCAGCTCAGGGCTTAGTTCTTCCCGTGGCCAATGACTTATACGATTGGTTACGGTATAATCACAACATGCCAGTCAATAAAGATTGTTAGTTAAAAAAAAAAATCATATCAATCCAATGATGTGTTGTTTGCGAATGTCGGTGGCAGCAGGGTAGCGAGGTTTAGGATGTTAGGACCTACTGATCCTAGAATGGATGATGAATATAGTCTCAGTTTCTGCACCAAAAAAACAACATCATTGCTTCTGAGGCAAGTAAAACAACATTGAGTTCCACCAATCTCCTGTTGAAAAAAATGAAGCAGGATCAGTGACATGACTAAACAACCATTTAATCGGGACACAAATCATCATATCAAATCTGAGTGGAAATTCACCTGGCTTCGATACTGTGTCGACAAATGTATGTTATTCTGTAAAGTGTGTGAAGACGAAGTCTTCAATGATCGCAGAAGAATGCTATAAAAAACACACAAGTACTGAAGACCACAGGTGTGCATTTTCTACCGGTTTAATTTTATTTCATTGGTCATCTGCACACATTACCTCCAATAAACTTTATTGTGTGTGTGTGTGTGTGTGTGTGTGTGTGTGTGTGTGTGTGTGTGTGTGGTGAAAGTTTGGATATGATTGACTGCCGACCAATCCAAGCCGCTGCTCGGCTTGCGCCCCACTTCTCACCCAAAGTCAGCTGGGCTAAGCTCCAATAAACCGTAATGATGATAAGTGCTATAGAAAATTAAATGAAATGTCATTGCATGCACAGGCTGCAGTGCGACTGTCAGCACAACACTTGCGGCGCATCATGCGGCCAATGTTGCCCTGGATACCACCAGTTGCCATGGAAACCGGCCACCACTTTCAGCGCCAACGAGTGTGAACGTGAGTGTTGTGCTTCAAACATTTGTGACTCTGAAGTTTGAACTCAAATGTGCACACACACATAAAACAATAACAGTTTGTCAAGTGTAGTCCTTTCTTTGTTTCCAAGAATAGAAATTTAATCAGGTGATGTTTGAAGTCAGTTTTTAACATGCATAAAAAGTAGGCTTTTCACAATCAGGATTTTGGGGCTGATGAGCGAGTTTAAAATAAACTCAACTCAACTCAGCTGTATTTATATAGCACAAGCACCGCTGTATACAAAGTGCTGTACATATAGAGCAAATATCATTTATAAAACTAATAATGGAGACAGTAGAAAGCACAAAACTGTACAACTAAAATCAAGTCTGAGTCATGCTGAGTCAAAAGCCAAAGAATACAAATGAGTTTTAAAAATGAGCAGCGACGGGGGCTTGCTGAATGTTCAGTGGGAGGTCATTCCAGAGAGAGGGACCAGCAACGGAAAAGGCTGAACAATCACTGATCTGATCAGAATTTGGACGTCTGTCCAATCTCTTTCAACAATTTGTATATTTACCGTAAAGTCGACCCCAAAATTGGAGCCAGCCCAATCCACGAATAGGAAGAGAAAAGCACGTTGTTTTCCTTCTTCTGTTGAAGCTCATGTGTGCATCTCAGACAGCAGGGGCGCTGGAGCAGTAAGCCTCGCAGTGCCCTTCATTTGACCCGTTTCCACGAACATGTACATGTAAACTGAGGCTGTTATTGTGAAGGCCACTACACATGCCTCGAGTTGAGAAAATGTCTTCAATTTTCCCAGCATGCAACTGTCACCGCCACTCGTTTGACTGCTTCTACGACAACGAAGTGGCTCAGCGGCATGGCAGCCTCGACATCCGTGGAGACTACCATGGGGGCGGAGTCTGCCTCAACTGTCAGGTAGGCCATGCATCAACACTTGCCACGCTTCTTTTTTGTTTGTTTTTGTTTTCAACGTCACTTCTCTTCTAGCATCACACCAGCGGCATCAACTGTGAGCGCTGTATCCTTGGATATTACAGAGCGCCGGACACAACCATTGACTCACCATTAGCCTGCGCACGTAAGTCATGTGGTCCCATCGTATTTTTTGGACTATATGTCACTTTGGAGTATCGGACGCATTTCTGGGGGAAAACAAAAACCGAGACTCACAACATAGAGCTCGGACTTGCACCCGAAATCCCCGGTCCCGAATCTCGTTGTAGGCAGCGAACGAGTTACGGTTGGATTCAAAACTTCTGCTTCTAACTATGAAAGAGTTTGTATTTTCAGTTTAAAATGTCTTAGCTCAACTAGAATCCTGTGTCACATTGTGGCCAACGCTCTAGTAATATGACGCCTTTTGGTGCTTTAAATCGTTGTGGCGGATGTCATATTCTAAAGAACGCAGCCGTAATGCACCAAACGTTTTTGCCAACCGCCAAAAGAAAGTAGAAGTACAAATGGAAGAATTAGTAGTAGTAGTCAAGGCAACTGGTGTTTGACATATGTCATTAAGTTTGCTGCCGCTGCTAACTGCAAGAAGCTCCAGCTTTGTCTCTACTTTTGCATTTGGAATCTGCCACGGCAAGGACTTACTATCTCCAGCAATAAGATAATGTGATTTTACGAGTAATGCTAGTTGCTAGTTACTTGAACTTGTAAGACGTCCCCACAAAACCTGTCTTAACATGGGGTGACTAGGGAAATGTGACTTATGATGAGAAATTGACGAGATGAAGCACAAATGGACAAGACGCGAATAGCTGGAGGGTGCTGATTTAATGTCAAAAGGAACAGGGTTAATATGAATAGTTGGAGATGAAAAACAAAATGTTACACAATTTGAAATAAAACTACAGTGGTACCTCTACTTATGAAATTAATTGGTTCTGGTTTTAAATGCCCTAATCCGTTCAGAAGTGGTTTTTGCCTGACATTTTGTAAAGAACTGATCCAAGCACGTTTGCTTTTGTCGGCTTTTAACAATCCTTCGAAAATGTCCAAGGCAAACATCAGCATCGTGAGCGATCACTTTTTTCTGGGTGATTCACATTTACGTAAAACTATCGGAACAGCTCATGGCCCGAGGGGCGAATGACGAGCACACATGCAGTATCTATCTATTTATCTATCTACACACACACACACACACACACACACACGTATGGTAGAGGTCCCTCCGAGCCAATGGGATGCTGTGAAGATGCCAGGTAATAGCCAATGGCAGAGCAGCTATAAGTATGTTGCTTCAGGAACCTCAGAGCTGCGAGGAGCAGCCCATACTGTATTTTTACCTTTCATCTCTTGAAATTTCTTTCGTAACAAGAGGCAATATTTTCCTGTTGAGGCGTTTCGAAACTTGAAAATTTCGTATGAAGAGACGTTCGTAAGTAGAGGTACCACTGTACACTTTTTGGGTGTAAAAAAATGAATTGGAGGACCCAGTCCTTTTCTTGATTGGGAGGGGTTGGTGCTAAGACATAATAATAGTTTTTTCTTAATAATAATAAAAAAAGAAAAAGAATGAACAAACCTCTAAATTCATCAAAAAGCTGATAAACATTCAATACCCTTATTCATGAAAACCAAGTAAACTGGGACAAAAAAAACTAAATTCCGGAAAAAAAACTGCAGGTGCCGGACTAGGAATACGCATGTGTCCACTGTACTTTTAAATTGCAATATCACCTGTCACCCCAAAGATGGTAGACATGTCTTAGTTGCGCTTAGACTGAGTCTTATACAACCCTACACTACAACGTGAGTAGGCCTACTAATTTTTGGTGAATTTGGAATGATATGATATGCAGGACAATCAGACTACATTAATAATGTTAAAATATTGAGTGAGCTGATTTTTGTAAAAAACGGCACACTAATCTTTTTTCCATTTTCACCTACACCTCTCGAAGTCGACTTGGGACTAGTCTGCGGACTATTGCTTTACCGCAATCGTATGTTTGGGCACGTCTACTATGGCTATTCTTGCTCTGTGCTAGACTGACATCCGTCCTAAATCTAGATTTATTCTAAAATGATCTAATTTAGGTCAACTATCTATTCCATCTCATCGTGTGTGTGTGTGTGTGTGTGTGTGTGTGTGTGCGTGTGTGTGTGTGTGTGTGTGTGCGCACGCGTGCGCGGTTGCACTTGTCAGTCTGTGACTGTGACTCTCTGTTCATGGACGGGACGTGTGAGGACATAACGGGAAGATGCTTCTGCAAAGAAAACTACGCTGGTGACAACTGCGACCACTGTGCTGATGGCTTTGTCAACTTCCCAGAGTGTTACCGTAAGTCTCTCTTTCTGATTAAGACGATTTACGGGATAAATGACATCAATTGCTCATGTCTGCCCATTTGTCTGTCTACCAGCAGCAGTTTTCCCCACGTATCCAAGCAACAATAATGGTGAGGCCAAACCAGCCGGAGAGATCATTAGTAAGTATTGTATTCATCAAATAAATAGATAGCTTAATTGACATGTCATGCAGCAAAGCCCGACCCACATGGACATCGACAGTAAAATACGAAAATAAACTCATTGTCATTGACAGTGTCTTACTTGGTTGATAGCATGACAAATACATACAAACAAAGAAACATTATTGTAGACCAACACAACATTGTTTTCATTTTTTAAATAAATGATATTGCTTTCTCTCCCATGCTTGTTCCACAAATTCCGCTAGCGTAAATAGACCTCCTCCACTTTTAAAAGCAGAGTTCCATTTTTTCATACTCATCAAGTTCAGAAATGTAATTACAGATCCTGGACATTTTATTCATGAGTATGGTCCTCAAATCATCAAATGAGGGTCATTGAATAAATAAGGTGAATTTTTCGGTAGAAGGACTTCTTTTTGTTGTTCTACTTCTTCCATTCATAACTTTGCTGCTGTGAATTGTGAATTTTTCCATTACGAGACTAATAAAGGTTTTCTTATCTTATCTTATCTTAATACAGATAGAGGCTTACTTTATTTTTATTTATTTATTTATTTTTTTTTACGTAGTCTCCCAGTACAGTCTCACACTTTTCCCATCTATGCACAAGCTTCCATATTCCCTCAGCGTAAAAATCTTTGTCTCAGCCAGTTGCTCACAACACTTCATCGTCACAAAAAATGTAAGCTTCTATCTGTATTAGAAGTCCTTATACCAAAAAAAAAAAAAATCACCTTATTTATTCAATGACCCTCGCACATGGTACAATAAAATAAAAATGAATCTCATTTTCGACTTCCCTCAGATTACACAATAGACAAAAGACAATAGTTCTTTTCTCCTCTGGAGTATGAGTGAAACTTCCTGTTTCTCAGGCTAAGGAAGTGTCCCTGACCTTATCTTGGCACATGGAGATTGCTGCCTTCTAATTATGTTAAATTCAACATAAATTCCAGTTTTATAGCTATCCTTGATGAGACAGTATGTTCTGAGCTTTGGTTTGCGTCACAAATTCATGGCCCACTTATATTTATACTTGGCATACATATTATTCTGGATCTCTTTGATATTAAACTTTAGTCTGTTTCGGAATTCAAAAGACATATTACAATCAAGAGATGAAGTTTTGATCTCATTTGTACAGGGATGGTCATGTGCAATATTCCCATATGAATATTTTTTTGTTTGGACGATAGTCTGGCATCTGTTGGAATCTAATAATAATAATAATACATTTCATTTGCAAGCACCTTTCACAACACTCAAGGACACTTTACACCAAGAGCAAATAATAAAACCACAGATAAAATTATAAACAAAGAATAGAAAGATTTAAGGTGGATATGCAAGTCTGAATAGGTGGGTTTTGAGCTGGGTTTTGAATGTGGAAAGAGAGTCAATATTACGAATAATGGGTGGAAGTGAGTTCCAGAGTTTGGGGGCAGAGCGGCTGAAGGCTCTGCACCCCATTGTACTGAGACGGGCAGAGGGAAGAGAAAGGCGGAGGGAGGATGAGGACCTGAGTGCGCGAGAGGGAATGGAAATTTGAAGATCTGACAGATGGGGGGGGGCAAGGTTATGGATGGCTTTGAATATACAGTGATACCTCCGCTGACGAACGCTTTAGATCACGAACTTTTCGCCTCAAGAACATTAAATTTGCGAGCATATTGTCTCTGATGACGAACTAGTTTTCGGCGGACGAACCAAACCACGCGGTCGAACAGCGCCACGGTGGCGGCCACGAGAAGCTGACGCACGCTCACGAAGTCCCAGTTCGTCACCCCCTTTCTTTGAGTGCGGACGTGGTTTGTGTTTGATCGACATTTTGGACCATATTGAGTGTACTTTTGCTATCATGGGACCGAAAAAGACCCCACCATGCTCCTTCCAAACAGTAACTCCCTCCCTCCCTCCTCCTCCCACTCCATTCCATCAAGCCATCAACTACCATCACAAAGGTAAATAAAACAACTTTATTACACAGTACAGTTTATTTCTTGAATTACAATACAACAGCACGTTTATTTTCCATAAAATAAGGTATATTTTTGTGTAGTTTTAAGGCTTATTTAGTCGAAAATTATGCTTTATGGGGAACGGGAACGGATTATTCTCATTTTAATGGTTTCTTATGGGAAATAAATGTTCGGAAGACGAACTTTTCGCCTCACACACACCTTCTGGGAACCAATTATGTTCGTGAACTGAGGTATCACTGTATAGAGAAGTAATTTGAAATTAATTCTAAATTTGACAGGGAGCCAGTGGAGCTATCGGAGGATGGGGGTGATATGATGGAAGGAGGGGGTTCTCGTGATTATCCGGGCTGCTGAATGCTGAACAAGTTGAATTTTATGGAGGAATTTGTGATGGACACTGAAGAGAAGTGAATTGCAGTAGTCGATACGGGAGGTGACGAGACTGTGAACAAGGATAGCAGTGGTGTGAGGAGTGAGTGAGGGCCGGAGCTGGTTGATATTACGAAGGTGGAAATACGTGGACCGGGTAATGTTATTGATGTGGGAGTGAAAGGATAGTGAGCTGTCAAGGATGACACCCAGGCTCTTCACCTGGGGGGAAGGAGATACAGTGGAATTATCAATTTTGAGGGAAAAACTGCTGGCTTTGTGTAGAGTAGATTTGGTACCGACAAGGAGGAGTTCTGTTTTATTGCTGTTTAACTTGAGGAAATTATGGGTGAA